TTGACCATAGCTCCTAAGGGGGAACTGAAAGCCATTGTAACAACTGTTATTGTAAGTTTACTCTGTAATTATAAAGTTTTTTGTAAGTTACTTTTATCTCCTTTTGAAAAATTTATGTTCTTATAAAGTTTAAATTCAAATGTAGCCTTTCCTTTATCCCTTTAAAGGAAAAGAATGTAGTCTAACAGTACAATGCAATTAGGCAGATACACGAAATTTTGGTTCAATGGTTTATTTAATATATTGGCACTATTCTTCTTATGAATACTTAGTGATTATAAAGTTCTTTGATGCTCATGTATCAAATATTTTTTGAATCTTTAGAAATACCTAATGTATATTTAGTATATGTTTATAAAACATATAATTTTCTATATTAAATTATTTGATATATATGTATGTATAATTTTATTTGTATAAAAATACTTAATTTTATGTGTAATAAATTTTTGATAGAATTATGTAGGAAATGCTTTTCCAACGGAATTTCCGTTGGAAATTTTCAACTGAATTCCGTTTTAGAAGAATTTTCAACAGAATTGCTTTAATACAGTGAATGGATTATGCACTTTTTTCGACGAAATTTTCGGACAGAATTTTTAGTTGGAAATTTTCGACGGATTTTCAACGGAAAGTATTTCCGACGATGCTTTTATCGATGAAATTTTCAACGGATTTTTTTGTTGGAAAAATGTATTTTCAATGGAATTTTAACTTTTTCCAACGAAAAATTCTGTCGGAAAAAGCATGTTTTTTGGTAGTGTACCAAGCAAAGTTATGTCAAAGGGGTAGAACCATGTCAACTACCAACGACCCAAATCAAGTGGTAAGACCATGTCAACAACCCAGTCAACCTAAGTTTTGCGCACAATGGCTAGTGTCTACTATCACTAGCTACAAGTCTATAACTCAAGTAGGCTCCATTGAAACAATTTTATGCTATGATTCCAAATATACAAACATTCATTTACAAATGACTAAATAAGTCCACTTGCCATCCAAGAACAAAGATTCAAATAAAATAAATGCAAGTGTCCAACCTTCATCTCAAGTAAGTAAATTCTCAATCATTAACAAAATAAAAATTTAAAGCAAAGGCTAAATCAAATCGTCAATCCCAAGTCAAATTGACCTAATGCTAAGGTCTATGCAGGGCAAATCACTTCATTTTAAAATTTTCAAACTTACAATCATTCAACTAGTCATAGACAAACACAGATTTTTGAGGTATCAAACATTTCAAAGGGCTTGTGCTCCATACACAAAACTATAAACATAGTAGCATATTTACATAATATATCTAGATTTCATAAAAAATCTTGAAACCATTATTCACATTACAAAGTCCATCAAAATACGTTTTAATGTGATGTTGTAGAATAGGCATACTTAATTATATTAAAATAATTAAAAATGCCATATCTACCCACCTCTTGATGAGTGCCTTTTGCTTCTTGGCACTTTTTTCAAAAGCTCGACTTTTCCAAAAACTCAATTTATTCTAATATCACTAAAAATGATATTTAATCAGTAATAGTCTCAAAGTCCCAATAAAATGATATTCAATCATCAATATCCTAAAATACCCTTTAAAATTTTAAAATACTTTAAATACCCATTTCTAACCCTATATAATCTTCACTTATTTCTAATTATTTTCACAAAACCTTTATCCAAACTTCACACCCAATAAGTAGAAAACTTATTTTACCTATTTTTCCTCCTTGGTGAGCTTCTAGTGGAAAGATCTAACCAAATCTTGAAAACCTAAAAATATTTCTAGTTTTTAGAGAGAGAAACTAAAATCATAAAAATTAAGCTTTTGGGAGTGAAAATCCTTACCTTTCACACTTAGAATCCAAGAATTGTTGATGGAGTTTGAAGGTTTTGAAAGCTTTGAAATTTGAGAGAAAGTGGGTGGAGGAATAAAGAGATAAGAGAAGAATGAGAAATCTTTGGGTTTTAGGCTAATTGGGTAGTCTAGGATCAACTACGAAGAGTCTATAGTCGATCTTGGACTAATAGGTTTAATATTCTACCCATTTTCCCTTCACAAGATTGACTATAAAAGGTCTATAGTCGACCTAGACCAGAATGTCCAGTTTTGCTCGATTTTCCTTCACAAGATCGACTATAGAGGGTCCATAGTCGATCCTAGTCTAGTAGGTTAGCATTTCCTCCATTTTTCCTTTCTAGGATCGATTTTCCAAACTTGTGAAAATTTTTTCTTTTAAGGCATAATCTCATTTTAAATCTCTACTACAACCTTCATGACTTTTATTTATGAATTTTCAAGCATAAAATTGAAGTTTTAAGTCAACAAAAGTACTTCCGAAGCTCACAAAGTTAACTGTCCAACTGAGAAAATTTACAAGTTTCACAATTTTCTATGATAAATGGAAGCTGCAAATTTAATTTCAGTCGATCTTTTTGAAGTTTTTCTTGAAACGAACATTTAGATTTTAATATTTTTGGATTTTGATTTTTTATATTTTTATTAAATCCAAGTGTAAAAACTAAATATCTTATTTACATTAAATATCTTAAATAAATGGAGAGTAAAAACTAAAAAAGTAAAAATGAGGACGTTTACTTAAATAGTATTTAATGTAAATAAGCTCGACAGGTTTTATAGGTAATCTATCTAACAAACTACATTCTTTTTCAAATGTATCGAAACATGTTAATGATGTGTCAATACCTATGGTCATGTATCAATACATAATCATAATGTATTGATATAATTTCTCCATAACTCGATGTATTGATATATGGCTCAAATGTATCGATATATTTCATTGATTTCAAAAAAATAAAAAGTGTAGAACTATATTTTTAAAGTCAAAACTATAAATACCTCACATTTTTCAATGGTTTTCAACCCTCAGCTGTTTTTCTAAGGTATTTCTCTCAATCCAAACCCTCTTAATTCATTTTTAACTCAAATCTTTATTTTTGATGATTAAATGATGTGGTTTTGAGTT